TTATGATAGCAGATCTTCTAACTAAAGAACTTCCGTCCAAGGTTTTTCATGAGCATGTTGCTCACATGGGTGTTTTCCAGTTTGAGGAATTTGTGGTTTAGTGGGAGTTAGTCATTTTCATATATTTTATGTTCTATATTTAATTTCATGTATGTATACATTGATTTTTTGGACATATTTGATTATCTATAGATATGCGATTTTTCGTTCATTCATTACACTTTGTACATTAAGGTTATTATATCGATCTCGATAAGTTAAAGTTTGGACCAATTGAAAATAAACGTATACAGATCACATTCACGTAATTTTTCATGCTACACATTTCATGATGAATTCATGTCATTTGGTTATGTCAGGATTAATAATTATTATTGGTTTTAGTTGCGATGATGCAATGAAAAACTGGTTTGGTTCTATATCCTGATATGATCAATGAACGAGACTTTTGGAGTATGCTAAATGAATATAATAACAATTTTGAGCTCATAAAGTCTAATATATTTGTAAAGTTGTAAGGACATATATATTTGTGATCAATGAGAGATTGTTGGCAAATTTTGGGTCATGTATATATATATATATATATATATATATATATATATATATATATATATGATACATAATTTAAATGTGTTAGGATCATTATTTATTAAGCCAAATAATAAAGTGATATGACTAAATTAAAAATTTTGGCTAAAAGTATATGTTATGAAAATAAAATTGTGTAGAGACCATAGAGTAATTTCTAATTTGATGAGGAGCCAAATTAAAAATACTAAAACTTAAGTAATTAACCTAATTCTGGTTATTTAATGGGTCATGGTACCCTTCCGGGAGCACATACACGAACGTAAGTCTCAGTTCTCATTCATTTCTTTATATCCCCATCAAGAGAGAAAATCCAGAGGAAAAATAAAGGTGCTCTTCAGGTGGAAGTAGGGATGACAATTAAATTTGTACCCGTGGGGATCGACCCGTCCCCGCCCCGAGTTTGACGGGGAAAACCCGAGTTGACCGGGGGCGGGGTCGGGTTTTCCCCGCTTTAAAAAGTCGGGGCCGGGAGCGGGGATGGGTAATGCAATCCCCACCCCGACCCCGACCCCGTCTCCGCCCCGACTTTATATTTAAATTTAAATTTTAAAATATTAATATTTTAAAACTATTTCATTTTCTTTTTCTATTACATATAAGATTATTTTTTTATATTTCACCAATTTTTATTTTTCTTCTACCCACTTTTTAATTTTTTTTATCTTTTTCAATCTTTATATAAATTAAATTATTATATTATTCTTTCTCTTATCTTTCAGCTTTTTCACATTTCCTTAATCTCTCCCATCAATTTGTTTTTTTTTTCAACCAATTTGATAAACACAAAGTTATTTTTTTTCTTTATATTTTTTCTAAATATTTTACATAAATCTTAGTAGTAACTAATATTAGTTTATTTATAATTTATATTTATTATATTTTATTATGTCATATTTTTTTTATCTTATTATGCTTATTTATCATATATCAAATTTTATCTTAATAAAATAATTATATTTTAAATGATTAGAAGGAATTAATAATTTAAACTTTTATTACTTCAAACTAATTAAATAAGAATTAACTTATTAAATATTTCCTTATAAACTATATATTTCATATTTTTAATGACAACTTAAAAATGAATTAACTTATATATATAATCAAATGTTTAAATACAGTATTATAATAATAATGGTATAAATATTCAAATATTTGAATACAGTGTTATAATAATAATATATAATAATAATAATGTTATAAATATTAGATATATATAAATAAAAAATGATTAAATATTTCTTTTACATATATATATTTTAATATAAATATAATAAATTAAAATGTATATTTAATTAATAATAATTATAAATTATAAATATTTATTTATATATAAAAATACATAGTAAAATTAATTTATTATAAATGTAATTATCTTTTTAAAAAGAATATAAATCGGGGACTGGGCGGGGAACCCGAAACCCAATGGGGACGGGGATGGAATTTCTAACCTCGACGGGGATCGGGGGCGGGACGGGGATGGTTAAAAAAGTCGGGGGCGGGGATCGGGGAGGCAAAACCCGGCCCCGCCCCGCCTCGTTGCCATACTTAGGTGGAAGACTATTAAATCAATAGTGCTCTAAAAGGAACATCATCATTATGGCTAATTCAGGTAGGTTTTCGCATTCAGTCTACAACATATTTATGAGTATAAGATAATGTTCATGTTTGATCGTTAGAATCAAAATCAAAATCAGCATCATAATTATTAATTTACTAATAAGTACTTGAAATATTAACAAAATTGTAGCATTACCTGGAATCATATCATTACTATTTGATTAGTATTCAAGGATCGAATTTTCCATAGCATTTTCCTTACTGGATTATTTTCTCATTGATGTATTCAACAATAGAGTTTGATTATTTTGATTATTGGTTCTTTCTGTTAATGTTAGAAAGAAAAAAAAACGAAATGGAATTGGAATGTTCCAAGTGATTGGGCTTTTGTGCTTCATGACTGGAATTGTACACCTAAACTGTATTCTATGTAGAGTTGCACCTTTCGGGAATTGAGACTTGAGGTAAAGGTCTAGAGAGATGTTTGGTTAATTATCTAAAATTTGCTAGCTGCAGCTTCTAAATAATTTAGGCAATAAACTTTAACAGGGCATATAATGAAGAGGAGCAGCATTGTTGTCATTGGGCACAGGGTGCACACTACACCCGTGGAAATGCATGAAAACTTGCCATTCTCAAAGTTGAATGGTTGAGAGCTATTGCAGACCTCTGTAATCTTAATCATATTAAAGAGGTAACTGTTTTGAGCACCTGCAATCGAATGAAGAGATATGTTCTTACACAGTCCCGACATCTTGATGTCATAGAAGTCATGGAATGGATGTCAAAAGTGTCAAGTTTATTCCCCAGATGATATTTGTAGTGTATCAATAAAAATGTAACATGCCTGTTCTTTTTTGCAGACAAGTTTTGTCCCTGTTTAAGAGCTAAGTCAGCACTGGCTTTTACTTTACAACAATGATGCCACACAACATCTTTTTGAAGTATCAACAGGTCTTGATTCTATTGTATTGGGAGAAGGTTCGTATATAAACAAGTTGTCAAAGTTGGATAAGAAGTAAACAATTTGTTAGGTTTTTCGAGGGGGATTCACTGGGGAGAATAACATCAATGAGACATGAGTCCAACCCATATAAGGGATTAACATCAATCTTAACCTAAAACCTTAAGGCATTAAGTTATGAATTATACTTCCTTATATGTTACCAACTTTCTTATTCTTACTCAATGTGAGACACTTGGATACCCAACAATCTCCCCCTCAAGTGTGAGTCTCTTTACTTTGGTACATCCCTTCGAGCACTAGTGGTCATTCCATGTATCGTCATTCACTTTAACGGCACACGCTTACTTAAATCATTCTGTCAGGAAGACTTTTGATACAAAGATCACTTTGTCCTAGCTCTAATACCACTTGTTGGGTCTTTCGAGGGGGATTTACTGGGGGAAACAACATCAATGAGACATGAGTCCAACCCTCATTGAGTTATGAGTCATACTTTCTTATATGTTATTTAATTTTATTATTCTTACTCAATGTAGGACTTAACTCACACTTGAATATCCAACAATCTCCCTCTTAAGTGTGAGTTCCTTTACAATGATACATCTCCTCAAGCTCACTAGTGGTCTTTTCACATATCGCCGTTCACTCTAATGGGACATGCTTACTTAGCTCATTCTATTAGGAAGACTTTCGATACAAATACCACTCTAACCCACTGCCGATCAACCTTGCTTACCCCTTGATTTCCCATTTTTACATGTCTAGAATCTCCAACAATGTAGGATGTGAAATATTCATGATGAGGTGTAACATGAAATGAGGTAGCAGAATCAACAACTCATTCATACTCTTGAAAAATGAGATTAACGTATTCATCATCATAAATAATGACAATGTCACCATCAGATATAACTGCAATAGTGTCTTTATCTCTATCTTCTCTTTTATTATTATTACTCTTGTTTCTATCTCTTGATTTTTCTCTCTTAAGGAGCCTGTAGTATTTGATCATATATCCTGATTTATTGCAATGGATGTGATGTTTTTCATTTCTTTTGACTTTCCTCTTGACTTTTTACAGATGAGAATTTCTATATTGATTTATTTCCCTTGATTCCAAAACCAGAGCTTCATTTTGAGTCGAGGAGTTAATATGACAACTTCCTTTCCTTCTAGTTTCTTTATTTAAAAGACTATCCTTGACCATGTTAAAAGTCAATTTTTCATTAGGAGCAGAATTACTCAAAGATATCACTAATGTCTCCCAACAGTTTGGTAATGAGCTAAGCAACAATGCAAGTAGCTCATCATCCAACTCAATCTCCATGGTGATTAATTGATTCACCATATTTTGAAAACTGCTCAAGTGTAGAGCCCCGGGATACCATATGTGGGCCTTAACTCACACTTGGATACCCAACAATCTCTCCTTCGAGTATGAGAACCTTAAGGCATTGAGTTATGGGTCATATTTTCTTATATGTTGTTCAACTTTCTCATTATTTATATCGGTCATTCTTACTCAATGTCGGGAGAACAACATCAGCTCTGATACCACTTATTAGGTCTTTCGAGAGGAATTCACTAGAAAGAACAACATCAATGAGACATGAGCCTAACCTATATAAGGGATTGACACCACTCTCAACCCAAAACCTTAAGACATTGAGTTATGAGTCATACTTTTTTATATGTTGTTCAATTTTCTTATTCTTACCATGTGAGACTTAAGTCACACTTAGATAACCCCAACCCACCTTTGAGAGAATAATCAGGGGGCTATTCAAGCATGCACTTACGGTTGGTAAAAGGGTTAGAAATAAGATTGAATTGCTTCCGGGGCAGTTTTTGTGAGCTTAGTTGCGTTGAATTGGTCTTTATGAAACTACCTAAAGCCTCACTTGATAATGCCAGGATGTTGGCTATTGGAGCTGGCAAGATGGAAAAACTTGTGATGAAACATTAGGTGGCAAAATGTTGCAAAAAGATGGTTGTGGTCAATAGAACTGAGGAGAGAGTTGCTATAATACGTCAAGAACTGTAGGATATTGAAATCATCTCCAAACCCCTTTCAGAAATGCTCACCTGTGCCGGTGAAGCTGATGTAGTTTTCACCAGTAGTTTGTCTTTCTTGGTCCAGGTTGTTCACACTTATTTTAATGTTTTAGATTTTGTAAACTATATATTTGGAACCAATCACTAGTTTATCTACAAGCATTATTTTTGGAGTGTTTATTCTTTGTGTTGTAACAGCTTTAGAATAACAATCTGGACTAGAAGGAGGGATAATGAAACTGAGCTCTACGGTTACTATTGAAGGGTGCCCCTGCTAGTATTGGCCAGGTAAAGCAGTGAAAAGTTGATTAAAGTCAGAGGAGACCTGTTTGAAAAAGAAACTCAAGTAAAAGAGCTATAAAAACAAATTACTCTACCGGTCCATCAGCAACTCAGCATACCAGGTACCTCACAGCAGAACTCCAATTGTGATGAAAAGAAAAGCTACAGTGAAATATTGTGTTGGTTATATTTCCTCTTAAAGAGTATTCCTTTCCTTTTTGTTTGCCTATTTGAAAGAGACATCTTTTTATTACTTTATTTGTATATTTTTAATATTACCATATTCTCCACTATCACCTTTTTTAATTATTTGATACTTCTATATGTATATGAAAAAGAAATAAAAGAGATTTAGAAGATAACAATTAATATTTACTACCTTGAAATAACAGATAAAAGCAAAATTGATTTTCAAAATTAAATTAATATCTAAAAATATACAGCGAAATCCGCTAGGGTAGTCCAACACACATGCATTCAGGGAAGATCTTTGACTCCAAACAGAACAATACAATACAAGTGCACTTGAAAACGTTAGACTACAACTCATAAGTCACACTTGCTCGAAACTACTAAAATTACAGAGTTGTTACATGCTCTGGACACACAGCTTGAGGTGTCACTACCACCATTAGACACCCTGCACATTGGTGCTACTTTGCTGGAGACCGGCATTTGAAAAATCTCACGCCATTATAAACCCAATCATCTTAGATTCTGTGACTCAACATTAGATCATCGCCAGCAAGTGTGCGAGAAAAGATCGTTGTCTTGGTAATTGGCATGGCAGAATAATAGGGACATGTAAAAGATCTATTAAATGAACACAGTTGTCAATATGTTTAGTTTGTATTCTTGTGATCACATAATTGACTAACATTTTCCCACCCTGACTTTGAAGTAAAGAAAACTTGGAGCCGTTGTATCTAACATATCAATGATTTTATATAAATATTTCATATTACCATAAGATTTATAACATACGATGGCAAATTTTATCCAATGTATGTTCGTGGTTTTTAAAAATGAAATCATTAAATATTTAGTAGATGGTTACGGACATCACAGCAGGATTGTATTTTGGGCCTGCAGCTAGAATACCAACCGTTTAATTGTGAAACATGGGCTTAAAATCCCTCACAAGAATTGAAAATGCAGTAAAACATTAGGAAGAAATTAGTGAAATTTATATAAGGAATTCATACCATTTAAAATTAAATCTAAAATCTTAAAATATTAGATAATAGATCTTTCTAAATTAAAAATTACTCAATTTTTTTATTTTTATCTAATATAAGATTTTAAATATACTTAAATTCTTAACAATCTCTTATTAAATATGATTCTCTCTATTCTCTGTCAAATGATAATAATCATCTTACTTATATCACCTTTCAACTTAGATATACGATATAAAGATGCAGTCTCCATCGAGTCTAATACAGAAAGAACATGGTCCCCGTCAAATTGAGCAGCCAACCAAACACGCCTATCTGTTTAGGGTTTCTATATCTGCATTTCTCTGGTTTTTTATTCTACACAATTTATTGTTTTTTCACTAGTTTGTCACTTTGCATATTATATAAAGGTATTGCATATTATATAAATGGAGCCTTAATCCTTATCCTCGTCCAGTCTGTTCCTCTTTCTCCTCTTCTATACTGTCAAGCATTCTTATCCACTAGCTCTTCATTTTTGTTCATTGTTTTACTCTTCTGCACTAGCCACCATCCCTCCACCAGCTCTTCTTCTCTATTTGCCTACTCTTGTATCTATCAACTTTTCCCAACTTCACCACATTAGTAAGTCTATGCTCCTCCGCGGGACACTATCATCCATGTCACACTGTCACCCTTTTGCAACAGCCACATTCCACTTTCTCTTCCTGGATTGAATTTTTTATTTCTTGAAAAATTGGTCTACTACATCAATTAACAAGACAATAAATATAATATATGGCATATTTAATGTCCATTGACAAACCATGTTAAAAACTATCACTCTTTACTATACCATTTACATTATAGAATGACTAAAATAGCTTAAAACTCTAATTTAGTGGTGAATTTTTCCAAAATTATTGTAAAATATATTATGGGACATGGTAGCACAAAAGGACATATATTGTAAGATGTGTATTGAAGGTGGATTATAAATGATTTTGTTTTGAACCACTTTAAGCAGTAGTTTGGATGAGTAGGCCTGGGGCAGACCCAAGTTAGAATAGCATGAGGGTTGTTGTTTGTGGGAGCTAGGTGAGTGAGGCTCCTCCTACTCCTAATCCTACTCCTACTCCTAGTAAGACTACCAAGAATAAACCATAACAGCACTGGGCCAAGAACAAGGCGGCCAGATGGTGATGGATTCGACAACTGAGACTCTGATTTGGGCTCCACACCTGACATCTCTGTTCCAGATCCTCCTTTCATGCTAACTAACTAAAATCGCCCTCTCATCTCTCCATTTATCATCACTCAACCAAGCCTACCTATCTCATAATCTCAATATCTACTTCAGAGCCCACCAAGTAGCTGGAAATTTCTTCTCCAACCCAACAAGCTAAGCTTCCTGACAGAGACCATTCCAAAACTAACCAACTGCAACCAATTCACCCTGCTAGTTTTATCAACACCCTACCCTCCACTTAACCTTCTATCATTTTTTATATTTCGACTCCCCCCAGTTATCACCTTTTTCAGGCACTCGTTAAACAATGTTACAAATTTCTTCATCTATAAACGTGTCAAGTATAAAATTCACTATCAATTCGAGTCTGTACAACCATGGTCTTTTTTCTTTTTAATTCTTTTCCACATTCCATAAATAACCGCAACAGATAAGTACCCAAAACAAAACATGTATAAATAAATTCTCCGACACTCGCGGATTAGGTTTATCTCATGTAGCTAGTGTTTGCTTTGGAAATCTCATCTCCCACTAATTAGGACCTACTACTTATTTCCCCTCCCCTTTTACCACCTTGAAGCTACACTATTTCTATCTGTCTCCGTTTATTTTATTTTTGTCACGTAGCAGTGTAACGCTTATGATTGCATCAATTTAACTTCGGTCCCTTCAAAATCCATTTCTGAATTCCCAAGGTAAGCTACTGGAAGAAAGACGGAAAAAAAAAAAAAAACTGAAAAAGCATCATGTTGCCATGAAATGTAATCATTAGTTCATCATTAAGTTCTGCTTTCTGCCATGTTTTTCATCCAAAAGATCATTTTAGCCTCGTTCGTAGTCCGCTACTTAATTATTGGCCGCATAAACCCACTATAGTAAAACGACAACCAAAATGTTCAACATGACAATATCCACTTCCAAAAAGCCGAGCATAAAGAAAGACTAAAAACCAGAGAGAGAGAGAGTTTACAGATTACTACTACAATGGCATTTACAACTTTCTAGCGTCTACTAACCCTTCATATCATAAACTACCAATCTCAACATGGCTGGAGCAGAGTTTAGATTTTTTGTGGGTTGTGTTGTTGAAAAGCAAATGATTAAAATGGGAAAACAAGAGTGTGTATAAAAGGCACAAGACAAAAAGACATGATCGAGGAACCATCCAACGAACTTCTCACATTTCAGGGTGGGGCATACCCTTTTTTCTGTAGTCATCTTCCAATGCGAAAGGGCCGCGCCGTCTGCTACCAGTTGTCCCCATTCCATTATCATTCCCCGTCCCCTTTTCTTCTCTTCTCTCTTTAATACGCCTCTACATTTTTAAATAATAAAAGAAAACATTTTTTTGGAAAGAAAATTAAAACCTAGCGTTTTCGAAGCCGTGCAAGTCGCTGACTCTATTCAAAGACTTCTTCATCATTGCCATCTTAGCCAGCTTCTCAGCAGCTCTCCAAGCCGACGTGGGAGTAAGCGGCTCGCCATTCTCGTCCACCAAAGTCACCTCTCTCTCACTCCCTCTTCTCCGCTGTTGCATAATTTGCTGCTGCTGCTGAAGCTGGACCTGCTCATGCTGTCTCCGCCAATGAAGCTCTGCCAGCTCAGCCTCCAAGCCGCGCACGTACTCTTCAACCGAAGCAGCGTTAGACTGCATGAGAAGTGCACGCGCGGATGCAAGCAAATGATGCGCGCTGGTGAAGTCAGCATTATGCTCAACAAGCCTCCTGGACTCTGCAATGGCTCGGGTGGTTATGAAGAGATTCCTGAGGCGCTGGATTCTACAACCGGAACAACGAACGCTCTGAGGCGGCGGCACCAGAAGTCCCTGTTCCCTACCGTATACGATCTCCTGGCTAGCAGGGTCCTTATAGAGGCACCGTACGGCCATCACGTGGTGGGTCCCCGCTCCTGACGACGCCGGAACTCTCAACTCTACCAACAGCTCCCTCTCTTCCTCGGCGTACAAGTCACCGAGCCGCACCGCCCCTGAGCTCAGCAGACTGGGCCTTCCACTGCACGAGTAAATCGCGCTGATCTCAACCGCCTCTGACTCAAACCCCACTTGAATCCTCAAGTCCTGCACCACCACGCTCAGCAGCCCACCAACGCACTTCGCGAACGCGTCCTCCCCCGGTTCCTGGCTGTAACCGCTTTTCGCCCCGAACCCGAAAGCGTGAACCGGAATCTCGATATGAGCGAACCGCGTCGACGACACGTGGCTCGACGACTTCCTCTGATTACTATTATTATTATTATTATTACCCCTCTGATTTTGAACCCTCTCTTCTTGACCGTCTGATAACAACATCACGCTCGCCACCGGGTTTCTCTCCCTGCGATCCTCTAACACTCTCGTTGCTTTCCTCAACGCGTCGCCTACGCTCGAGCCTTGACCTGCAATGAGTCGGTCAACGATGCGCCGAGCCACGCGCTGACCCTGCCCAGTCATTCTGCGCAGAGGTAAGAGTCGTTTGGAGGTGGCGGAGAAAGCCACGATGGAGAGCCTGTCAGCGGGGCCAAGCGATGAGATAACCAAACGCATCGCGCGCTTTAGCATATGCAGCTTGGCGCCGGTCATGCTCCCCCCGACGTCCAGCACGGTGACGAGATCTATCGGCGCGCGTTGCGATGGCGCCGCGCTGTTCCGTGGTGGAGATGGCGGCGGTGGAGCCTTCACTTTCAACACCAAAGCGTAGGTCTCGTGCGTTCGGGAAGCTGAGATAACAGCACACTCTGGCATGAGTTTCACCTGAACTGTTCTGGAATCACCTTCATTTGTTTGGAACGAATCGGAGTACGATTTTGAGGAGGACGAATTCTTCGGATTGACGAAAAAGCCTTGGAACTCGCCGGCGTCTTCTTCGTCGTCGTCGTCTTCGGCATTCTCGTCGGCTTCAGGTATGGGAATGATCCTTCCGCCGGAGGTGCAGGTGGGAGAGAAGAGTGGCTCGTCGTCGTCGTAGGACCGGAGTGAATCGGAATGCTTGGGTGGTGGCTCGACGTGGTTGTAGGTTTTGAAAACGGGGGATGTGTTTTCTGTTGGCTTTTTGTCGCTGGCATTGGGGTTTTCGGTGGTTCTGTACGCGACTTGGTTTTGCGAGGCGGATTGTGCAGCGAGGTTCTTGTGCGCCGCGAGTAGAGGCACGTCTTTCCACGTGGCGTTGCAGACGGGGCACACCAGGCTACCGTGTTTGCGTACATGCGCTGCGATACACGGGAAATGAAACGCGTGACCGCATTCCGCAGTGTAAATAGCCGTACCCTGTCCCGTCTTCACGCTGTTCAAGCAAATTCCACAGCTACTCTGTTCCACCACAACAAATCACAATCATTTACTTAACTAATTAATATTTTTAGTTAATTAATACTCCATACAGAGAAAAAGAGATAATCGAACATACCCTGAATTTGAAACTGTTCTTGAAGAGGGAGAGTTTGAGAGGAGAACGCGGTGAAGTTGGATTTGAGACAGAGAGCGTTTTCGGAGACTTGGTTGCTCTGGGGGTGTTCTTGCTTTGAACTCTGGGGCTGTCGTTTACAGTAACTGATTGAGATGCAGATTCCGGTATTGTTGTGCAACGCAAGCGTGGGGTGGAAGGGTTGCTTCCTCCAGAGAGAAAACCCAAACGGGCACAGCTTCTTGGGCTGGGGCTTGGGCTTGGACTTCCTGGTTGTTTATCCGATATGGTAGAAGCAGGGTCGCGGGTGCAGAAGGCTCTCCTCCAACCAGTACCCATCTTTAAAGTGAGACTTACACCTGAGTAATATATAGGTATATATATGGAATCGATCCTTTCTATCCCTTTTCTCAAAGAGAGAGGATGATAGGGAAAAAACAAGTTTTGTTTGTTTTTATGAATTTGAAGGTGGCACAGAAGACAAACGAATTTTGGTAGAGGGGCATGGGATCAAACGAAAATAAGGGTATGAGACAAACTAAAGAGGTTGATTCAGATAAAAAGAGATATTCAGAGACCCAGGGATAGCTCTTTGGATCTTCTCTTCTCTCTCCCTTATATTGAGAAACACAAAAGATCTCTGCAATTAGACGCCTTGAGAGAGATCTGTTCCTCTTTCTCTCTCTCTTCCTCTGCTGGCTGTCTGTATGTGTGTAATTTGTACAAAAAGGGAAGCCTTGCTTCGTTTGCATATTTATATATGGTGGTGCTTTTGGAACGAGAATAGTGACCCCAATTACCCTCTACATCTACTAGTAATAATTAAACAAATCAAAGCTAAACCATGATTTACTTCACACAACTACACACTTTTTACCACCATAACTCCCACCTTCTACTTCACTGCAGTCTCCAATTATCTAACTAATCATTAATCATCATCATCATTGATTTAGAAACATTATATATTTTTAAACATTAATAATTTATATTCTTTAACATATTAATGACACTATTGACAAAACTAATAGACATCAACAGCTAAAAAACAAACTCACTCCTCCATCAGAACTTTGGAGAATTAGAAATTATTTTTTTAAAGATAAAAATATTAGTACCTAACTTTTTAGTAACTCAAATGCACGTCTTATCTGTTTTAATCATCTTAAATTTGAATTGGGTCCAATTTTGTTCCCTGATTATTATTTTTTAAAATAATTGGTTCTAAGTATTTTGAAACTAAATAAACACAAGTTTCACAGCAAATAAATAAAAAAATTATGCTTCAAATGCTAACTTCAACTTGTTTTTCTCCTCGGAAAGTTTCTAAATTTAAACCCTCCGTTAATAAATAAATAAAAAGTAATAATTTAGGAGTTGTAAACAGAATAAATCAAATACAAGACTAGTTCATGTAATCTTAAAATCAAGTTTTCATTTTGATTAAAATAACCTGGAAACCAAAATTGAAATATTATCTGTCTAATCTTTAAACCTTGTTTCAAGTCAACGGATTCGAGTTTTAGCTTCAGTTTGTTGGGTGCTTTAATTATCTAGAATTTGCTTTTAAAATTTCTAATAATATTATAAAATATTTGTAACTCAATATTGAAAATAATTAATATAAAAATGAACAAACATAAAATAACCATCATATGTAATGTTGTAAAAGAAGAGGTGTAGGTATTATGATAATATAATGATATGAATTTTGTATTGTGTGACAAGAGCAGAGATTCATGATGAATGAATGACATAGCAGCGATAGGTGAGTAAGCAAGTTGATAACAGAACATATATCATAAAGCCTGTTGGACGCAGCCTCCATGCACACCACCTTGTTAGTTGTGAAGTGTTATGAACCCTGCATACATAGCGACACGTGCCATACAGTGCTCAATGACCTTATCACTTCCACAGTAAAATTCACTTCACAGCTCACACACACAACACAACACAACACAACCAACCCATAAACTCAAAAATACCCTGCGTACTCCAATGTACTTCTAATCCAACGTTGGCCGTTTGATGCCTGGCCAACTCCTCCATCCACCGTCAACACACAAGGGCATCAAAGTGGGACCACTGAGGATGATTCAGTGCCAGCCACACATAAATGCCAATTCCCGTTTTTACTACTGACTGTGACCATGCATATACCTTCCTGCACACCACAGTACAGTGTGTGTGTGTGTGTGAATTATTCGTGTGGAGTCCGGTGCCGGAGGATATGAGGAACTTGTACAACCCAAATTTACCCTGACATTAACCTCGGATTACAGTGTGGTAATTTTCATAAACAGTAAAACCTAGATGTCAGTTACCACCTCCACACTCAGCTTTTGGACTAGACTAGTACTACTACTAACACTATTCCATGCAATGTTTGTTTCATCGGGAGGTAGGACAGTGTAGAATAGAGTACACAAAGGTGAAAACATTAATTGCCATAAAAAAAAAAAAAAAAAAACTCAGAATTGCCATTACTACTACAATATATAATAAACACTCACTCATCAGACATCCACATGACCCGTCCTTTCTTGGTGTGTCAGTAGTTTGGAGACCTACGCAGAAAGCCCCCCCTCCCACACAGACCCTACAACCAACCCTTCTTCAGGCCATACCCTCATTTTTCTCTCTGCATGGAACTTGCCCTACTCAATATTATTTGTTATGTATCATGAATTCATATAAATTACAGAAAATTAGTGAATATTATCCAAAGACAAACAGATAAGCATTACAGAAAAGTGTTGATTAATATGATTTGATTATCTATCTGTATTCGAAGGATAAAGAACTAGGTAGAGTCGTTGTTGACAAATGCATAGCCACCAAAATGAACCAGTAGGGGTAGATTTCTTAAAGCTAGGAAACCTAGGCGGAGAAGTCACAGCCTCACACACAGGTAGGTTGGTACCTTCCCAAAAGAACACAACAACAGGGAGAGAGATTTGACTGCAAGAATCATCAAAGAGTCAATAATTTCGACACGCACGTCGCACGGTTAGGTTAGGGTGCGACTTTCAACGCCGTTTCGCATCTAAACCCTAAGCTGGTGACGTTTTCGTATACTACTACCAGTACCTCTGTGTGCTCCTCCGTGCAATGCATACCAAACAAAACAAAACAAACCCACTCGTAAAACTGCGTGCGTCAAATCTCATTTGTCAACTTTCCACAAATCAAAATATGTATCACACAAATTAAGTATTATAGTTATTTTACATTTATTTTAAGGAATATGTTACAGCATTTAAAAAACTTAATTATTATTTTGTTTTTAATATTTTCAATTGAACAAATTATTAAACAAATAATTACGTATCAAATTTCACATACATAGAAACTGAATTCAGAATTTATATATATTTTCGTTCTTCCAATCCAATGAAGACCGTTGATTGAAAAACTTTGGAACTAAGGTAAATTTTTTTAGCCACATTGTATAATAATTGAAATGTTATAAAACTATACATTAAAGATTATCTTTAAAAAAAAACTGTTGATATTTGATTCTCGAAATTAATATAAAAATATAAAGAATAAAGATTAGCTTTAATAAAAGTGATGAAGAAAAGGATTCCGTGAAGAATGAGAATTTGAGTTTGTGTTTTCCTGGCTTTTTTAAGAATGGCTACGAGGCTCTACCTATAAAGTTGGCTAGGTTTTAGCTCTGGTTTAAACCATACTTTGGTCCTTGCCCATGTCTGGGGAGACAACACTCAAACCCCTCTGTAAAAATTAAAAACCTACCTTTATTTTCTTGTGTGTTGTGTTGTGTTGTGGGAGAAATTAAAAGATACATACATACACCTATAGTTAATTCACTCAGAATATTTGGATTTTTTTTCTTTTTATAATAGAAGAAGAAGAAGAAGAAACTTTAATTTACTAAGATTGTAAGTGAAACCCACGCAATGGAGGTATGGCGAATAAATTCAAGTACTTGGAAATACAATGCATCTCGGACCAAAAGTTGAAGACTTGAATAATAATGAAGATTCATGGATGAGATTTGTAGACCAAAAACCTTAATATACGTAACGCCGTACGTAGTTGTTTTTTCTATCTGATATGTACTTTTTTTGTTATCGGAACATAGCTCTAGTATACGTTAAAACCGTTGCTGAATATTATTTTTATAACAATAGATCAAACATAGTTTGATGTTGTTTGGTAGAAACTAAAACAATACAATAATTTCTTTTAATTCTTAAAATTTGCAAATAATAAAGAAACAAAAAATAAAAGCAATTTAAAAACTTACATAAAATAGTGTGAATAATAGTTAGAAATGGTGTGTTTGTTTGAGAGGAGGTAGAAGTAGAGAATATATTTTTATGTGAAAGGGGAAATGACAGAAGAAGAAATGTGGGTGAAAGAACACATAACTACCTCGGTACTCACAATGATGTAGCGATGTGCATGCATTAAATTTGTTGACCATATGATATCATGCGTAAGTGCCCACCACCGGATCTCTCATCATATGCGTATCTTTTATTTGCCATTAATGCCACGCTCTTCTTTAAATTTTATTTAATAATTATTTATTTATTTTTAAAATTCTTGCCTTTTAAATTTAAATATTAATCTCAATAAATATTAAATACATTTAACTGCTACTATTCTTAATCAACGTAAAATTAACTAATCTTACCACAAATAAATCCCAAGTAAGTGTACTATCTATCTAAACAACCAAAATGTTCCAAATCAAAACGTTACCCATCTTCACCAAACCATATCTTACACACTTCAATTTTCTAAGAAGCAAATGTTCCAAATCAAAACCTTACGCATCTTCACCAAACCATAGATCTTATATACACTTTATTTTTCTACTGCAATCAGTTGCAAACTTTATGAGTCTGGATTTTTTTTTTAATACCATAAAATTTTGCTTAAATTAAAATATATTCCGTAAGAAATAAAATGTTTCTGTTATAAAATATTATAATAATATGGTTTGGATTAATTCTTATTTTCCAGATATTATCAACTTTAAAATTTTATTACATAACAATTTTATTTTTATAAAATAATTTTGTATATAAACTATATTAGATCTTAATTTTTAAATGACATAAGAAAGTTATTAGTTTTTTTCTATGACATATCACCTTTTCTTTGTATTTATTTTGTTTTGGAAAAATATAATTTATTTTCTTTTTAAAAAATAATAAATAAAAACAAATATTATTTATGAAAATAGTATCACTAATCATTTCACACTTTCAATATTTATTTATTTATAGGAATAAATACAAACCATAATCTAATTTATAACATAATAAAATCGTTGATATTTCATCGAAAACTAATCGCAT